ACCAGTAAGATCTCGACAGAGCTATTCTGGAGAAAATAGGAAGTCGCTGTACAGCATAGAGACTCTGTTCACACAAGGCTCAGGCAAACCGAATCACAATAGATTTTAATTTGTTATGTGAACCAGCTTTCAGGTTAAGCCATAAGATGATTTGGCTTAGCAGGTTATGCTAATAGAATTATCATGCTTTGTTAACTAGAGTTTAACACGTTCTGTGACCGAAGTGCGTCCTAATTCAGAATAAACATTTGTAGCTCGAATGGAGTCAGGTGCCCCAGTTACCCATTTGCATTCAAAATCTGATCTTCTAATGTGATCCAAGCGGACTTGTAAAGAGTGTTGAACGCTTGGCATCATGATCCTAAATGATTTTCCTGGGCCAGGAGCCCTATTGATTTCCTGATGGAATCTAATGTTAAAAACGAGTTCCAGTCAAGGGTGAAAAGCTGCAGTCCTAAATTGACATCAATGGGGGCATATTTCCAAGGACTGTGCCTAAAGTGGGGGATTAATCTTAAAGCCCAATTACTGTGGCTTAACTGAGTTCCAGGGAGGCAGGAGGTCAGTGTTCCTGTGAAGTCAATGAGATTGCCTTTGATCCTGGCATTGTCTTCCGAAGCCACGGGAAGTCCCATTAATTTCTATGGCATTTATTCCCCAGTAAGCGTGCATAGGATCTTAAAGCACCAACTTGCATGAAATGCCATATTTTAAGTCTCCAAGACCCTGTGAGGCCCTGGCCAGAGCAAATAAGGGAGAAAGAACACAGTCATTCACGGCACTTACTTTAGAGGAAGCCCCATTAGAGGCAATAAATTTCCTATAAATACACTTGGATGGTTGGGTACGGTTCTTGCAGGGATAAAGACTGGAGTTCTCAGGGTTTAATTTTAAAAACCTTTACCAAACCATCAATTCCAGCCTGCTCTTCTGCACAGCTGCTCACAAATAACCCATCTTTGAATTAACTTCTGAATAATCCTACCGAGGCTTGAAACCAGAATTCCGTGTAACAGTCGTAAGTTTAGGTTTGCAACTCCAGTGGATATTTATTAGGCTGGAAATACCCTAATGTATGTATAGTGTGTATGTGTGTGCTGGGGCCCACCTGCGATCCTGGCTCTTGATATCAAAGGTAGGCAGAAGGTGGCTCTTGGGATTTCTGCTAGTTCTCTGGGCTGTTGCTAAATGTGTAATTGTAGCAAGAACGAAAGAGCCAGCACACACTCACTCATACATCTATTTTGCTGGAAAGGGAAAGTGTGAGGTGACACCAGTGCCCTTTGGCATGGAAGGACTGGACGGAAGTCGATTCTGGAATTGAAACCAAACCCAGCGTCTGTAAGATGTTGAGGGTAAAGAAGGGTGCGACGATTAGGAACATTTTCGGAGTGAGTAGTTTCTTTTTGGAGTTACGCATTGCTTCCTGGCCTGCTTCGCACCTTAAGCTCTGGTGGTATATATTCGAATCCGAGGAAGCACCGCGATGCAGAGTTGCAGCATTGCAAGGGCAGAAAAGGATCCTTTTCCTTGTTTCTTTTTGCTAATTATGATGAATTAGACTAACTAGCTGGGAGTACCTGCCCGAGCTTAATAGCCGCCTCTGTTTTCTCCACCTCTCTCCTTATGCTCCCCCAGGTAAAAGTTTGGTTTCAGAATCGACGGACAAAGTTCAAGCGGCAGAAGTTGGAAGAAGAAGGGTCGGACTCCCAACAGAAGAAAAAAGGAACTCATCATATTAACCGGTGGAGGATCGCCACCAAGCAAGCCAGCCCAGAGGAGATCGATGTCACGTCCGACGATTAAACCACCCCTTTTAAAAAGTAGAAAAAGAAGCAGCAAAAAGAAGCGAAACTCGATGTTGGCGCTTAACAGACTTTTCCAGGAACACCGCACGTGTTCAAGGCTCGGGACAAGCCCAGGAAAGTGAGTGTCGTGGCCGGGCCAGGGACAGATTCCGGCTTGATCGCACGGCCCTTCTGGCTTAGACAGAGGCAGCGGCCAGGGGCGAGAGCCAGTCCGAGCGTTGACCGCGCTGGTCCTGCACCGGTACAAAAAAGAGAGCGAGGGAGGGAGGGAGAGAGCGCGAGAGATCGGAGGGTGGGGAAGGGAGAGACTGTCAATCAAAGCCAAATCACCGAGACGAAATGATTGACCAATATTCAGTTTCTTGCCATTCGGAATGAAATCACTTCAAATTTCAAAGGGAAATGCATACACTCACACAGCCGCATAGGACACCTTGCACTTCACGAGGGATTCGTTCTTATTAACAATAATTCTGATTTTCTCCCAGTCTATGGGGGAGAAAATTCCACCTAGCCAAAATCGACACACCTGTTCCAGAAACTTGAACTGCATGCTTTTTTCTTTTCTTTTCTTTTTTCTTTTTGGTTGGTTGGTTAAAAGACCTTGTGGGAAGGGGATGAAGGAGGGCATAGGGCTTTAAAAAAAAGGTTGCTAAAGAAGGGCGGATATGAAGTGTACTTTTTTTCTCCTCCTGAGACAGGTTCAGTGTGCTTTTTAAGTTTATTTTATGAGAAGCTGTGCAGTCTGTAAATCTTTTTATGATAACTTCTGGCGTCAACGTGGTTGTGAAAACTAAATGAAGTAGCGGTAACAAATTCTATTTTTTTTAAAATAAGTTTTGCTTTTCCCCAAATGGATACCCTCTGAAGAAAAGGATAAAGGTTGTAAAGGGTGGAGGGGAAGGGAGCCCTTATAATTTTGCTGCAAGACAGAAAGAAATTTAAAGAAAATAGTCCTCATTCTAAAACTTCAGTTATTTTTTTCTTCCTTCCCTCTTTAGGCTGTGGTAAAACAGGATTATGGATGGATCTGAAGATATTTCAGCCTTTCTAATTCTGGGCCTTCTGAATGTGTAAGGCTGCAATTTCCATAATACCCAGCATCTGGGGGTGATGGGAATAGTAGTCCAACATAGCTGGAGGGCACCAATGTAGACAAGGCATTTCAACCCTGTTCCACAGGGACAGATTTCAAGCACTGAAATAAATAAGGTCAATTGTTCCAAGATTATACAGATACTAAAACAAGCCTCTCCAACCCTGTGCCTTTTAGAAGTGTTGGTTTTCAACTTGCAGAATTCCCAACTAACATGGCCTTTGGAATTCTGGGAACTGAACTGACACTTTTGAAGCGCACCAGGCTGGGAAAGGCCTGACTAAAATGACAAATGTTTCCTTATTGTCTTCTTTACCAGAATGTAAATATTTTTGTGTTGTGTGTTTAATTTGTTAGAATTCTAACACACTATATACTTCCAAGAAGTATCTCAATGTCAATATTTTGTCAATAAAGATTTATCAATATGGCTTAACAATTTTAAGCATTTTTTTTTAAAGTTTAACCTTCTCCCTTCCATGCCTTCATCCCTTTCTGGTGCTAATAGTCTTTGCATTTCATGACCAATGTTTATTGGTATCCGTCATCCCGAAAGTGACTTTGTAACAACAGGACAAAAATATTTATGATATCAAATCACACTGACAATAAGATGAATTTTTTTTTCAAAGAAAGGGAGGGCTTTTCATTTAGACTTTTTGTACTGATACAAATACCCTTTTCAGGTATCCATTTTGAAAGATGCAGTGTTCATTTGAAAGAGAGGTGTCTACGTATAGCATTCATGTCCACATAGAAGAAAGTCAGGATTACTGAGTGTACAAACTTGAACTCCTGGAAGTGTAGCTTTGCGTGGGCCCCTGATGCTGGGGATAAAGCTTGTGTCCATATAAAAGTGTCTCCGAATTACATTACTACAATTGGTCTCTAGGTCCCTGCTTAGGATTTTGGGGCTGTCATTTTAATGCTGGTATATACTGACGTGGTATAATTGGACTTTTGATTGGTCTGCTGAAATCTGGGCATTGCTGAGCCTTAATTTGGATTTAAGTCCCATCTGAACCCATGAACCTATCCAATCAAGCAAATAGTTTGAAAAGGCCCAGTGTAATTAAATCCTTCCCTCCTTTTCTTTCTGTTCTTGTGAAGCTTCATTTTAACAGCTACTTGGAAGTAAAGCTCCTTTGGTGCCAACCTAATGTACTTCCAAGTAAGGCTGCAATCCAAACTACAATTTACCTGGCAGTTTCACTGAACTCAGTGGGCTGTCTTCGAAACGTCCATGTGTAGGATTGCTTCATAGGTGTGCCTGGAGGATGTCAATAACATGCAGTAGTATAATAATTGTTCATTACTTGTTATTGCGGGACAGAGGATTTGAGCGGCAATCTCAAAAATACAGTCATATTAGTTTCTTTTCAGTCATATTATTTTCTTTTTATTTCAGTATTATTGTGTATGTCTTCTGAAGAAGAATCTTTCTAAGGGGCAGGGAGAGATGCCAACTTTAATAGGGAAGGGGCAAAAAGTTTCTCCTAATCCTGGAGGAAGCTAGTTGGCTTTCTGGGGTACCCCATTTTTTAAAAAATTTAATTCATGGTTCATTTGCTCTTTAGTCCGATAGGCTGCATTAATCAGTTTTCTTGCCATTGACAGCGCAAACCGCGGTCTGCTGTGTTCCAGCTACAAAGACTTTTTTGTGGAAGTGCAAATCAGTTTAGGCAATTATCATACCAGGAATATGAAGGGGAAAGAGGAGCCATTGCCCAGTGGTCTCCTTTAATCTCTTAATCCGTGGATCCAGGGGGGCTAGTTGGACATAATTTAGGACAATCTGACTACCCTTTACACTGTGATAAGGCGAAGTTACAATGCGTTGTGAAAATACCAGCTTTGTTCAACAACCTGCCTTGAAAAATTCAAATTAGAGATTCCATGCACATGCTGACTACTACAGGGCCCTCTAGAAATTGGGTTCAAAAGATCTGATCCGGGATATATATATATAT